CTGCCCCCGTGTCTTTGCACTTGCCTAGACATGAGGCCTAAATCCCACACAGCTAAGTGCAGGCAGCGTGCCCCCTTGGGCTCAAGTGCAGTAAAAGAAGCAGAGCTTTATCCCCAATGGCACCTTGGGGGTCGAAGCAGCTAGAGCGTGGCTTACATGCACAACACTTAAAGAGTGGTTTTAAAGCAGCTGAAACCCGACGTGGACAGATGCACAAGCCTGTTTAAACTGATGTAAAGCCACTTGGAATGGTTCAGAAGCATACCTGGAAAATCAAGCACTATTTTGAACTGGATCACTGTGATCTGGTTCAGTGTTTATGTGCAGATACCAAGTACTCCGTGACATACGTCTGGTTGGTCCTCCAGGCATCCCACACTGCACTGCTCTTCACCCCACACAAACGGCTGCAACTAAATGCTCTGGTATGCAATCAGAACTCGACTGCTTCAACCTGCCCCGCTTTTTTCCCCTTTTGTTGGCACTCTTTATCAATGTGCTCCCCTACACTGCCCAGTCAATAAACACTATGTTTCTTATACGCTCTGACTTCCTGCTCAACCATGGCCCCTCACCAACACACCCTCAGCCCCTGGGGGCCCCAAAATGTGGGTCACAGCACCCCCCTACACCCTCCCCAAGTTAGGCAAGCACACTGCAGTCAAGTGCAAGCTACTGAAGTTTATTGAACTCATAGTCAGGAGAGAAGGGAAGGCAGACACATGAAAATATTCCCAGCCACTCCCTTGGACTCCCAAAACACGGATGCAAGCACTTTCCACCCTCTACCTGCAAGGCATGCTCAGCTGAGTGCTGCCCTTCCCACCCCCTGGTAGCAGAGCCACAGCACTTCATGCAATTGCAAACTGGTTGCTAATCCATGCCATTTGGAAGGGTTCAATTGTGACGTGTGTCTGCACCCTTAGTGACAGCTTGGCCATGGACTTGCCACCGTGGTTGCAGGAATGACAACCCCTGGAGAGGGGCAGTCCCCAGCTCTAGAAGCCTCAGCTGAACCCAACCCCTCAGCAACTGTTCATCCCTAAATACCAGAGGGAAGCCTGGGGACACAAGCAGCCTAAGCAAAGGTAGGGACTATCGGCTGGTTCACACCAAGTACTTGCTCCAGCCTCAGTTACGCACATTCTCTGTGCTGGAGTCCTTCACTTCTTTGTAGAGACTAATATCCAAGTAGTAGCCAGACTCGTTGGCCAGGAAGAGGCGGATGGGAATCGCCTTGGTTGTCGGCATCAGGCGGATGTTGATCTTCACTTCCGCCTGCAGGACCCGCAGTTTCCACAAGCGGCTCCCGTAGCGCATCACCATGGAGCGGACTGACTCCTCTATCTGGGGACACATGGGCCAGAAACTCTCTGAGCTGCTGGAGTGGCGACGTCTCAAATGGCTCCTGTCAGACATGCCTCCCATTCTCCCGACAGCAAGACAGCAGCCCTCTGGGCAACATGTGCCCACGTGTGCCTGAGCCAAAAAGCACCCCTTGCCCTTCCTCGTTTCAGTTTACATACACACACACACGTGCACACATGACTGGCAGACAACTTAAAGTCACACCAGTAAGGGAAAACGCAAGGTGCACCACGGCTGGGTGCCAAGCTGTCACCTCCCTTCTCTGAGTGCTGGCATTGCTATGAGACAGCCCCAGCAACAGAGAACCAGACCCTGCCTTATCTGTTGGCCCTGAATAGAAAAACCTCTTTGTGCGAGATATTTTTCCTCCCTCCCCTCTTTTTGGGAGCCTGGCAGTGCTGTTTCTTTAGCAGCTGCCAAGCTAGGGTTGGGGGAAAGAACCAGGGTGTCACCCAAATGCTGAGCTCCATCACTGGTGGGCAGCCATTTTACCTGCCAATTCCTGCAGGTCTACTCATAAAATGCTAATTCATTTGTAAACGTTAGAGAGCTCGGTATCTCCCGAGTTAGCAGTGCTTACATTCCCTCCGTGCACACTGCATGGGAGGTAAAGTGCTCAGTGATGTTGCTGGGATGAGGCCAAGGTTATGAACCCTACAGCCTTGTACTAGAGCAGGACTGGTGGGAGAACATACCAGCATGGGACAGTAGCGTGTCGGGGAAGCCATGCTCCCCTCAATGACTGCCCCTACGACAAGCCACCGCTGCGATCCCGTCTTCCCACAGAACCTCTGTGTAGGAAAAGCCCCTGTTCACCGGGGAGGGCTCACCTTGGAGGGGTCCATGACAACAGTTGGCACAAAGTTGAGGAAGATGTGGTTACAATCTGTGCGGACGCTCGTGTTGTTGAAGGCCACCTCCAGCTCGTCCATGGCTTCCAGGAGCAACCGCTCCCCCTCGTTCTGCAGGTACTCGAACGAGGCTTCCTGCAAGGGGGCCAGAGAGAGCAGCAAACCCACCGCGCTGAGGACAGGGACTTTTCCCTAATCCGATTACTCTGAGCAAAGCACTGCCTTCAGCTCCCACACGTGCAAATCATCACCCGCTCTACCAGCCCCTTGCAAAGTCCTCATGGGCAAGAGAGACCAACGTAGCACTCGTTCCAAGCCACAGCGCATCAGCTGCTGTGCCCTCATTACCTTTGTGATAAGGTCTGAGTGGCGCACAATGGCTCGTATGAAGAACCGGTGGTCAGTCACTTCTGCCCCCTCTGCCACCTTGGAAGCCCCCAGGTAGAGATGCATCTTGTGGTTGGCACAAGGGATAGCGGTCAGGTCAAAGTTACGCATGCGGCTCAGCTCCAATTGGAAGGCCAGGGCTGGTTCCAAGTGCCGATAAATCCGGTCTTCTGCAAACTGGAAAAGAGAAAAGCGAACACAATCCCATGTGACCTGGGGAGAACGCCTCTGAGTCCTGCTGCGACATGAGAGACCTCAGACAAGGGGGCCCTACCTCGTCTCTTGCTCTGAATGTAAAAAACTTCGGGAATTCTCTCTGTAAGAGAAGAGGAGAAGACAATGACATATTGGTAAAACTAAGTCAGCCCTCAAACAAGAAATTGTCGTTTCTTGGAGGCCCTAGGGGAAAAAAAATATTAAATAAGAAATAGTAAAGCCAGCAGAGAAAGCAACCTGTGTTAACTCACCTCTCACAACAAAAAAAAGTCTGAGTTAGTAAAGTAAACGGTCAAGCTTTCCACTGTAGGAAATCCTTACTGTAACATGTAACACAATTAGATGAGTTATTGATTGATACAGAGCCTAACAAGCTGCTTAGAACAATCTCTGACTCCTTCCACTGAGCTGCTATTATATCCATCTCTAGCTTGTATCTCTGACCTCTATCAGTCATTTATTCACTCTTAATAAACCCTCGAGGGCGTGGATGTATAAGCCCGGTGCAACCAAATTGAATCAGCGACAGAAAATGTCCTCTCCTCCACTGACCTGCTGTGCGACCAAGAACGTGATTCTCCGGAGGCCACAGTCAACCAGGATGTTTTTCTATATGGAGACAGGAGATAAATACTGTGTCACTGGCAAGGCCTTCAGGACCCCAGGGAAATGTTAAATGTTTTCAGGAGGAAAGGCGGACGAGTCTCAGAGGCATTACCCCAATGCAAGACCTCTTGAGAGAGCTGCGCTAAATACCCAGAGCACAGGGAAAGCACAAGACCTTGGACTGAGCAAAAGCTCTGAAGATGGGCACCAGCTTCTCATCCTCGAGGTGCTCTACGCACTGGATCGCGATGTTCAGGATGTGGATCGGCTCCTCTCGGACGTTCTGAGAACGACACACGACGCTGTCAAGCCGGATGCTTGGGAGACCATGGCAGTCCTCAGCCTGCGCCACCCCCAGGGCTGAGGGAGCAGCCATCCCACAGTCGCACCTTGTTGTCCTCGTCGTCGTAGAGTGTAGCTTGCACCTCGCTGAACAAGGGGCTCTCGGAGGGTGGGTCAGCAAAGGAGGAGATCACTTCATCGAAGTTTCTAGTGGGACCCAAGCAGGGGGTGGAGGACAAGTCAACGACCTCAGTGAGCTGGAGAATTCCTGGTGCACAACCTGCTTTCCACAAAAGCTGAACTACTTGGGCCAGGGGCGCTGGGGACTGGAAACAAGGAGAGAAGGACTGGACTGGGATCCAAGGGACCTGGTGTCCATGCCTGACTTTGCCACAGACTTTTAGTGCAGTCTTGGGCAAGTTGCTTGTTAACCTACCCTATGCCACAGCTCCTGAGATCCCAAGGCTGTTGAGGGAATAAAGGCATTCATTACACAATGGCCAGATGCTCAGGTTACACAGGCGCATGCGTTTACCCAGAGTGGGCAAACGTGCTCAAGTGCCTCACTTTTCCTTGTTGAATAGGATTAGCAACACGTGGACCGCTGCCTCCCTAACTTTTAGTGGTCGCGCTTGGTGCTTCTTCTCCAGCTGCTTAACACTCAACTCTGGCAGGACCACAGGCATTTCAACTGCCTGCTTGAAGATGGCTTTGCTTAGCCTGTGGTCCCAAATCTAGCTTGGTTTTAAAACAGGATAGTGCTACATGCACCCAGTGGAAGTGTCTGGATAAAAGCAAGGGGCAGTGAAGGTTTTCCCTCTTCTTCTCTTACCTGGTGAAGTCTTCAAATCTGTTGAAAGCCACCATGGCACCCATTCTCTGACACAGAGGAGAAAACCCGCTGTCCATAAAGAGCTCAGTGCTATGCCGGGCTAAGTCTGGGTTTGATATGCTGATAGGGACAGACATCCTGGGCAAAAACGGAACAACACAACAATGAGACCGAGCTCACAGAGGGGTGACAGACAGCGGGGGATATAACTGAGACAGCAGATCCCCTGGAAAAAGGCCTTTTCATTCAAAACAAGATAAAAGATTATCTACATAGGACTCCTTCCCCCTCTTCTTACAGGGGCTGGTGGTCTGTGAGGTATCCCCTCTATGCTGCCTCCTAAGGCACCAGTGCCTGTTTGGTTTGCTTTTTCCAGTTCAGGCCAAACAAAAAGATGCATATTTAGCTAATGCAATTCTTTGAAAAGCCCTTTGCCAATCCAGTCAAGCACTCTGCAGCAGCCAGCGGCTCTCCGGGGTTTCTGAGGACAGCTGACAGCATGCTGCTTCCAGCAAAGAGGGGACGACGGATGGTGGGGCTATATTAACTTTCTTATTTTATTAGGCTGCTGGCTGCTACTTAAGTTGATGCACATTTAATTGCTGCTTGGGTATCCTGGCCTTTCTTGGTGTTTTTGAAAGCAAGAAGACTTGGTATTTCTTTGAAAGCACCACAGACCTGGCTGCAGACATAGCTGGCGGAGTGTCGAGCTCGTGCCCATCCTTGAGGTGACGATAAAAGCCAAAAAGCTGTACTCATGAAGAAGCTTTTTCACTGGATATGAAGGGACTGGGTGCAATGCCCGGAACAGAAAAGCTTCGACTGCCAGCACTGACGGCCGCCGTGCCTTGGAAGGAGCAGGGCCTGCCCAGCAGCAAGCCCGTTGGAGGGCAATAAGCCACTTGCAACTTGGCTAGTCTAGTCCCTTCAGTGGAGGATAAAGGCACAGGAGCCTTTTCCACCACAGCCCATGCTCCCCTTCAGCACTCATCCCACCCTTTGCTGGACACTTGCTTTTCCTCCTAGAAAATCCCTCCCTGCTCTGATTCCCAAGTTTCTTGGGCAGTGACAACTTCTAGGAACTGCTGGTTCCCTTTCTCCTGAGACTCATTGTGACTTCCTCTTTCTTCAGTGCCCTCCATCATTTCCCATGTAAAAACGCTACTGGTGTCAGCCTGGGCCTTCAAAAATGTCACGCAGCACCAGTAACCTAATGAGCAACTTATTGATTCCTTCTCATCCGCCAGGGCTTGCACCAGTGAGGGGAGGACTACATCTCAGGATCCAGTCTACTCTGACTGCCCTCTGGTCACTGGCACAACCTGGCAGAGGAGGGCTACCGAAAGGACAGAATCTCTCTGAAGACCAGCGATGCCACAGAGCAAGGCAGATGCCCTCTCTTCACTGGGGTGCGGTGCTAGGCCCACTTCAGTAATTCTCCCCAGCACCATGGAGAAGGCAGTTGCTTCCACCTGCCTCTGCTCAGGGTGTTTCTGCAATGAGATCCTTTTCCTTCTCTCCACGGGCTTGTCTGTTACCTCACAGTTAGTCCAAAATGCCAGAGGTTAGTACAAAATGATGAGGATTCACTGG